AGTATATGTAGGGGTTTTGTTTTTATTTATTTATTTTAAATTTGCCAGAGGGCTTGTGTACTCACTGGAGAAAGAGAAAGGGAGAGAAGGAAAGTTGAGAAAGCACCCCCCACGGGGCATGGTCATGTCTCAATCCTTTCTCCCTTCTTTTGGGATTTTGGGCACACATGCACATACACCTGCTGTGGTTTAGCCTCCAGGCCTGGAGCTCAAACCATGCAGTTAGTCATAGGGGACTGAGTCTCTTTCATCTCCGTGCCAGGTAGTGCTGGCACGGAGATTTTAAATTTACTATGATTTTAAACTTTATTTTCCTGATTATCATAGTGAACAATTTTTCATATGTTTAATGAGAGATTTCTGCTTCTTTTATGAAATTCTCGTTCATTTCCTCTGCCTAGTTTTCCCTTTGGTTTCTGTTTATTTTTTAATTGTAGCAGGGCTTTATACATTGCAGATGATAATCATTTTGTCAGTCATGTCTTGAAAATATCTTCTCTCAATTTGTAGCTTGTTTTTGTATCTTTTAATAGTGGTTTGTAAAATGAATAAAAGGTTTTAATACTAATGTCTTTCAATTCATCAATATTTTCCTTAGTGGTTTGTATTTTTTTTATTTAATTTATTTTTTAATTTGACCATAGAGAGATAAAGATAGAGAAGTGAGAAAGCAAGCTGCCAGGTCTGGGACTAGAACCATGGTCAGCCATGTGGGAATCCAGCACTTTAACCACCGCATCACTTGCCTGCTCCAATGGTTTGTATTTTTGTGTTTTAAGCAATTTACTCCCTTGGGGACTGACAGGTGGCATTGTGGTTAAGGTGCTGGACTACCACATGGTCAACCACAGTTCAAGTCCTGGACCTGGTGACTTCCTTTCTCACTTTCTCTCTCTCTGTTTCTTGCTGGTCACATTTAAAAAATAATAATAATAAATAAAATGAAATAAACTTTTTTTAATTATCTATTTATTTATTTATTCATTTGCTATATGGCACATGCATTCACCAGAGAGAAAGAAAAAGAAAGTGAAGAAGCAAGCTGCCAGGTCCAGGACTCAAACAGTGGTCGGTCATGTGGGAGTCTAGTGCCTTAATACCATGCCACTTGCTGGCTCCTTTTTTTTAAGTGTTTTACCCCTGGAGATACACAGAAAGACAGTGAGAGGAAAAGTGAGAAATCACCCCCCAGAGGGATGGTCATGCTGCAATCCCTTCTCCCCAGTTCTTCTCCTGGGATTTTGGGTATGCATGCATACTCACCCAGCATGAATTTCATGCCTTCAGGTCCAAGACTCAAACTTTGATCTACCATGTGGGAGTCCGGCACCTTAACCACTATGCCACCTGCTGGCCCAAATAAACAATTCTTTTTTAAAAAATATTTAGGGACCAGTAGGTGGCGTGGTGGTTAAGGGTGCTGGACTCCCACATGGCCTACTGCAGTTCGAGTCCCAGACCTGGTGGCTTACTTTCTTGCTTTCCCTCTCTCTCTTTCACTCTCTCTCTCTCACTCTGTCCCTGCCTGGCCAAATAAATAAATAAAGTTAAATAAAACAATTCTTTCAAAAATAATTATTCCCAGGCCAGCCAAGTGGTGCAGTAGTTAAGGCAGCTGGATCCCACATGGCCAACTCCATGTTTCAAGTCTCGGACTCAGCAGCTTGAGAAATATGCTGGATGTGTATGCTTGCCTGCCCCCCAACAAAGAAAAAGAAATTGACTTCCAATATTAGTAGGCACTGTATAATAGAGCATATGGAAAGATGCTGAATCTAGGCACCAAATGTTCAGACAGATCCTAGTTCTGTCACCTACCAAACGTAACCTTGGACAAACTCAATGTCTCAGTCTCCTCGGCTGTAAAATGGAGATAATGTATTTGATAGAGTTGCTATGAGATAAAGATAACGTATGTCAGGCCCTTAGAATAGCCCCCAGTGCCTATTAAGTTCCATTAAATATTTGTTGTTGTTATCATGCTTATCAAGCAATTTTTATTGCTACTTCTCAGGACAAGGCCCATACCTTATTCAGTTTTGTATCACCAGTTCTTAGCAAAATGCATAACGGCAGAAATGAATAGTTCCCTACTCTCCCATCTTCTCCCAACCCAACTTTCCCTCCTCAACCCACCTTCTACAGTGCTGTCAAAATAATCTCCCTTTGGGACCAGCAAGTGGTGTGGTGGTTAAGGTGCTGGAGAGTCTCACGTGGCCAACCAGGGTTCAAGTCCTAGACCTGGTGGCTTGCTTTCTCACTTTCTTCTCTCTCTCTCTGTCTCTCTCTGGTCAAATTAAAATGAAGGAATGTGAATGAATGAATGAATAAATAAATAAATCTTTAAAAAAAAAATAATCTCCCTTATAGGGACCAGCAGTTAGCGTAATGGCTATGTCACTGGACTCCCATGTAGTTGACCTCAGTTTGAGTCCTGGACTCTGTGGCTTAAACTCACACTGGGCGCGTGTGCATGCGTGCCCAAGATCCCAAGAGGAGAATGGAGGAGAAGGGATTGCGGCGTGGCCAGCCTCCCTGGAGGCTGATTTCTCGCTTTCTGTCTCTCTGTGTCTCTCTGTCTTTCTAGCGAGCACACATGCCCTATAGCAAAACCTCTCAAAAAAAAAAATCTCCTTTATAGGGGCCGGCAGGTGGCATGGTGGTTAAGGCACTGGACTCCCACATGGCCAACCATGGTTCAAATTCTGGACCTGGTGGCTTGCTTTCTCATTTTTTCTCTCTCTCTCTGATCAAAGTGGAAAATAATAATAACAATCAAATAAAGTTAAATAAAATAATTCTTTTAAAAAATCTCCCTCATACAGCTACAATACTTTCTTACCCCTTACTAAAACTGCCGATTATTCTTTCACTTGTCAAATTTTTTTTTTTTTTTGGACAGCGATTTTTGCTATAGGGCGCATGCACTCACCAGAGAGACAGAGAAACAGAGAGCCTGAAAGCGAGAAATCACCCTCGCTCCCAGGGCAGATGACCACGCTGCAATCCTTTCTCCTCCTGGAATCTTGGGTATCCACACATGTGCCTGGCTTGAGTTTTAAGCTGCTGGGTGCAGGACTCAAAAAGTAGACTATGTGGAAGTCCAGGGACGTAACCATTATGCTATCTGCTGGTCCCTCACTTGACAGTTTTTAAGACAGCATAATTTACCCAAAACTCTATTATCAATCAAAGTGCTCTAACTTCCACTTCTTAACCAACACTGGAGTTTGAAGTATTTTCCCACTAGTCTCTTCCTGTATTTGTACATGAGCATCTGCAAATACACACACGTGCAGACTAGGGTGGTGTTCAAGAGAACAGACTCCAAGGGAGGAGCGCCTGATTTCAGCACTTACTTGGTATGGAACTGTGAACAAGTTCCTTCACCTCTCTGAATCCGTTTCCTTATCTGTAAAATGAAGACAGTAACTGTACCTTCCTCAGAGAATTGCTGTGAACAATGCATGAGCTGTAAACATTATCTGTTATTAGAAAAGCTTCTCACCGGGCCGGCAGGTGGCATGGTGGTTAAGGGCTCTAGACTCCCATGTGGCCAGCTGTGGTGGTTCAAGTCCCAGACCTGTAAAAACTAAATAAATAAAATAATTCCAAAAAAAAGAAAGAAAGAAAAGCTTTTGGCGGTGGAGCTTTCCCCCACCTCCGCCACCTGCTGGCTTCCAGTACCCTGCTAGAAGGTAGGTAGTATTGAACTCGGTAGAAGGGAAATGGAAGCTATCAAGGGCAGTGGTGATCCGATCAGGTGACACTGCCATCTTCTTTACAGAAGCACATTTTGAAGGGGACCAGCAGATGGCGAAATGGTAACATCTCTGGACTCACATAGTCTACTGAGTTTTGACTCCCAGACCTGGTAGCTTAAAACTCACTCCGAGCTTGTGTACATGCATGTCCAAAATCCTGACAGAAGAATGGAGAAGGGATTGCACATGGCCATCCCCCCTAAGGGGTGATTTCTCACGTTGTCTCTCTCTTTCTCTGTCTCTCCCGCGAGTACACGCATCCAACAAAAATCTCTCAAAACAAAGCACATTGAAGACAAGCCTAAATATACAGTTCTGGAGGTAACATATCTGCTGTGCAAAACAAAATACATCCATTTAAGAGCGTGTCGATCTGCGGTCCACCACCTCGCTGAAATGAGATGTCAACCTTGGTCTGCATGTGCATTTCTCAAGACAGAGGGTCCATTGCTTTCATTTGATTCATGACCTAATAAAGTCTCAGCCAAGAAGATAACCTTCGGTACCACATTCTCCGAGGGTGACAAGTTCATGTGGGCGCCCGATGGTACCCCCCACCCCTTCCGTGGGAGCCAGTCAAAATTCCCCCGAGTTCAGAGTGCAGAACTCTGGGGATGCAAAGGTATGGACAACTCCTTCGAAGGAAATAAGAAACACACGAGAAACCGAGGGACAGCAAGGGGAGAAAGCATTTTAGCTTAGTGTGGTACAGCTGCTGAGGTCTTAGGGATCCCATCAAGGAGGAACATGGCCTGTGTTTGCGGGCTGTCTTCGTGTTGGGGAGAATGGCTCAACTTGTATTTACAACAAATGGGGGTTTATGTGAGCTTACAGCGAACTTCCATCACTGCTGCCCATGATTTTCTAGTTATTTTATCATCCTTAGATTTTTTTCTCCCCCTCCCGGCAGCTCTGACGGTTACAGGCAAAAGAAAAGAAAGCTGCAAAGGGAGCTACGCTCCCGGTCTTCGGTTCTGCGGTCCCTTTAAGAAAAGAACCTCTTGGGACCGGCAGTCCCAACCGACCCCAGCTTTAACCGAAACCTAACCCGGACTTCCCCCTCTTGACTCAAATAAGACCAACTTTGGATTTTCCCTCCCCTACAGGCCAATCAGATTCTGTTGCCAGGCAGACTTCAGCGGCCGCCGGTGCGAGCCCGGCGCCTTCTGTCTCCGGGTGGCAGCAGCAACCAATGACAGAGCAGGCTGTCCGTGTATCCAGGCAGATCGTGGCTGGTACAACCATACAGAAAAAGGAAAATAAAGCAACGCACGAGCCCGCTGGGCCAGCACGGTGGGGCTGGGCTGGAGTGAAGGTGGCTACGAGGTAGTTTCTCTTTCTCCCTTACCTATATTGTTGCACGTGTTGGAAGGCGACTGTTGGGAGGTAGGGAGGGGCGACAGGAGTCGGGAGGAGAGCCGGGGAAGATCTCGGCTGTCTCCCCAGCTTCTTCACCCATGTGCACGTGCCCTGAATCTGGGACCCCGTTCCCGCTGCCGGGCTCCCACGCCCAGCCCAGGAGTTCCGCCGCCCCGAGCCCCCCTCA